AGATATTGGTCTATAATTTCTTGTGAAGTCTGTCTGGTTGTGGTATCACTGAAATACTGGTGTCATAGGAGAGGGTTTCCTCCTCTTCTGTTTCGTGGACAAGTTTGTGAAGAATTTGGTAGAATTCAACAGTGAATCCACCTGAGTCTGGACTTCTCTTTGTGGGTGTTTTTTGTTTTTAAAATTACCAACTTAATCTCCTCACTTCTTATAGGTGTATTCAGATTGCCTAGTTCCTCTAGACCCAGTTCTTTGTGTAGTTTGTCTTTCTAGGAATGTGTTCATTTTTAAGTAAGCTATCTAATTTGTTGGCATGTGTATTGGCCCATTCTTGTGTTGTTATAAAGAAATACCTGAGGCTGAGTAATTTATAAAGAAAATAGGCTTAAATGGCTCAGAGTTTTGCAGGCTGTCCAAGCATGGCACCAGCATCTCCTCTTGGTGAAGGCCTCATGAAGCTTCCAATTTTGGCAGAAAGTGAACGGGGAATAAGCATGTCAAATGGCAAGAGCAGGACCAAGAGAGAGAAGGGAGACGTCTCAGACTCTTTTAAACAGCCAGATCTCAGGTGAACTAACTGAGCAAGAACTCATTCATCTCCAATGGGGTGGTTGTAAGCCATTCATCAGGGATCCACCCCCATGACCCAAGCACCTTCCACCAGGCCCTACATCCAACACTGAGGATTACATTTCCACATGAGATTTGAAAGGGACAAACATCCAAACCATATCAGTATGCAATTGTTCATAGCAGTGCTTTATAATCCTTTTTATTTGTTAAAATCAGTTGTAATGTACCTTCTTTCATTTTTGAGTCTAGTAATTTGAATCGTCTTTTCTCCTCCTTGGTCAAACTAAATGTTTATTTAGTTTTGTTGATGTTTTTAAAGAACCAGCTTTCAATTTCATTGATTTTCTCTATTGTTTTTCTATTCAATATTTCATTAATTTCCACTCCTATATTTTTTATTTCCTTCCTTCTGCTTATTTCATGTTATGTTATTCACTCTTTTTCCTTCCAGTTTCTTCAGTTGGAAGGGTAAGTTATTTGAGATCTTTCTTCTTCCTAATAGGAACGTATATCTACAGATTTCCCTCTAAGCAGTGCTTTAGCTGCATCCCATAAGCTTTGGCATGTTGTGTCTTGATTATCTATCATCGCAGAATATTTTCTGATTTTCCTTTTAATTTCTTCTTTATTATTTACGTGTCATCATTACAATAGCACATTATTTATATTAGTGAATATTTTTCTAATGTAGGATTTTAATTTCATTAATGAATTTTCCTTACAAGTTTGAATATTTCATTATATGTACCACATTTTGTTTATCCAGTCATTTATTGATGGGCACTTTAGTTGCTTTCACTTTTAGCTATTGTGCATAATGCTGACATAAAGATGGTTGTACAAATATTTGCTTGAAACTCTGCTTTCAAGTCTTTTGAATATATACTCCTACTTGAATCATAAAGTAATTCTACTTTTAAGGTTTGGAAAAACCACAATACTGTTTTTCTTTGTTTTTTTGAGATAGGATGTACCTCTGTCATTAAGGCTAAAGTGCAGTGGCACGACCATAGCTCACTGTAGCCTTGAAATTCTGGGCTCAAATGAGCCTCCTGAGCATCCATGACTACAGGCTTTTGCCAACACATGTGGATTTCTTTTTTCATTTTCTTATAGAGATGGGGTCTTGCTATGTTGTTCACGCTGGTCTCAAACTCCTGACCTCAAGCAATCCTCCTGCCTCAGCCTCCCAAAGTGCTGAGCCTGGCATCAAGCAATCTTCCTGCCTCAGCTTCTCAAAGTGCTGAGATTACAGGTGTGAGTCACCACACCTGGCCCTACATACCATTTTTCACAGTGGCCACACCATTTCACAATCCACCAAGAGTACACAAGGGTTTCAATTTCTCCATGTCCTACCAACTTATTATTTTTTTTTTTTAAATAGTAGCCATCACAATGGAGTGGTGTTTTTGATTTGCATTTCCCTAATGTTTAGTGAAGCTGAGTATCTTTTCCTGTGCTTGTTATTTGTACATTTTCTTTGGAGAAATACCTAATCAAGTTATTTGCCCATTATTTTAATTGGGCTGTTTTTTGTTATTTTGTAATTATTTATATATTCTGGTTATTAACACTTTATCAAATATATAATTTGCAAATATTTTCTACCATCCTGTGGGTTGTCTCTTCACTCTGTGTCTTTTGATAGAAGTTTCTAATTTTAATGTAGACCAATATATATATTTGTCTACATATATTTTCTTTAGCTGCATATGCTTTTGGTGTAATATGAAAGAAATTATTGTCAAATAATTTCTTTTCCCTGTTTTCCTTTAGGAGGTTTAAAGAGTTAGCTCTTATTTTGGGTCTTTAATCCATTCTGAGTTTATTTTTGTAGATGGTATAAGGCAAGAATCCAACTTCATTCTTTTTCATGTGGATATCCAGTTGCCCTAACAAGATTTGTTGACGAAACTGTCTTTTCTCCATTACACAGTCTTGGCTTCTTTGTCAAAACCATTTGACCTTATATGTAAAATTTTATTTGTGGGCTATTCCATTCCATTTGTTTGTCTTTATTCCAGTACCACACTGTTTTGATTACTATAGATTTGTAGTAAGATTTGAAATCAGAAAGTATGAGACTTCCAACTTTGTTCTTTTTTTATTTTTTATAGAGACAGGGTTTCTCCAAGTTGGTCAGGCTGGTCCCGAACTCCTTACCTCAGGTGATCCGTCCACCTCGGCCTCCCAAAGTGCTGGGATTATAGACATGAGCCACTTTTTGTTCTTTTTATTCAAGACTGTTTGGGCTATTTGGATCTCTTGGTATTTCAGATACATTTTAGGATGGGTTTTTCTATTTCTGAAAAAATATCACTGGGATGTTGGTAAGGAATGTGCTGAATCTGTAAGTCACTTTAGGTAGCATTGACATACTAACACTATTATGCCTTCCAGTCAATGAACAAGAAATGTCTTTCCATTTATTGGTGTATTCTTTCTTTTGTGTTTTGTAGTTTTCAGTATACAAATATTTGGCCTCCTTAATTAAGTTTATTCCTAAGTACGGTATTTATTATCATGCTATTATAAATGCAATCTTTTTCTTAATTTCCTTTTTGGAGATTCATTGTTAGAAATGCAACTAATTTGTGTGTCTTTTCTATCCTGCAACTTTGCAGAATTCATTTTTTAGTTGTGTTTGTGTGTGTGTGTGCGTGTGTGTGTGTGTGCTTTTTACAGTTTTCTACATATAAGATCACATCAGAGAGAACTTTGCTTCTTCCTTTCCTATTTGGGTGCCTTTTATTTATTTATTTATTTTGAGACAGTCTCGGTTGTTGCCCAGGCTGGAGTACAATGGCACTATCTCCGCTCACTGCAACCTCCACCTCCCAGGTTCAAGTGATTCTCCTGCCTCACGCTCCCAAGTAGCTGGGATTACAGGCACACACCACCATGCCTGGCTAATTTTTTTGTATTTTTAGTAGAAATGGGGTTTCACCATGTTGGCCAGGCTGGTCTTAAACTCCTGACCTCAAGTGATCTGCCCGCCTCAGCCTCTCAAAGTGCTGGGATTAAAGGCATGAGCCACCGTGCCTGGCTGGATGCCTTTTATTTCTTTTTCTTGCCCAAGTGTCCAGGTTAGGACTGCTACTACTATGTTGAAGAGAAGTGGTAAAAGCAGGCATCCTTCTTTTGTTCTTGGATCTTAAAAGAAATGCTTTCAGTCTTTCACCACTGGAGAAAATACACATATATAATAAATATTTTCACCACTGGAGAAAATTTTATAAATATATATAAAATATGCTTCATTTGTGTGTGTATATATACATATGCATATATATTTATATATGTATATTCATATATATGTATATATACACACAGATAAATGAAATATATATGTGCAAATATGTAGTATTTGTTTAATAAAATTAGGCTTAATTTTTTCACCATTATATATAAAGGTGCTACAAACATTCATGTAGTAGCGTTTATATAAACATATACTTTCTTTTCTCTTTCTAAATACTTAGACATGGAAAGGCTGGACGATATAGTAGGTATATGTTAACATTTAATAAGTTGACAAATAATTGTTTTCTATTTTCCATGTCTACCAGCTGTGTGAGAACTTCAGTTTCTCCACATACTTGTCAATAACTTGATATGATCAGTCTTTTAATTTTAGCCATTCTAATAGGTACTTAGCAGTATTTTATGGTTTCAATTAATACTGATAGTTTTTCATGTGCTTCCATGCTATCTGTATATCTACTGTGGTAAAGTTGCCCAAACATTTTGCTAATTTTTTTAATTGGGTTGTCTTAATATTGTTTTGAAGACTGTTTATACATTTTAGTTATAAGTACTTTATCAAAATATGCTTTGTAAATATTTTCCCCAGTGTGTCACATTTCTTTGCATTCTGTTATCAATGTCTTTCAAAGAGAAAAAGTTTTAATTTTGATGAAGTTTAATTTATGAATTTTATCCTTTATGGACTCTGCTTTTAATGTCCCATCTAAACAAATGCTGAACCCATTCAAAGTCATATATTATATTCTTTTCTGTATATATGTTATCCTTTGATTAAAACTTTAAAAGAGTCAATTCTTATAAATCTTCTGAGGCAAAATAACTGACTTTATGACAAATAATTTTATATTTTCAAGAGTATATTGCTGAAAACAATAAAATAGTTTTAATGTATATAATTAATACCATAAGCAACTAGTTCTTAAGGTCATGAACAGACGTTTCTCATTCCATTCTAATATTATTCTTATCAATAACTAGTTATAGAAGACAACTGTCAATATTATGTTTTGTGGAATAATATGTGGTAAAAACAGTATTTCAATATTACAAATAAGCGATTATCTGAAAGCAGCATATTTTCTATCTTTACATTTCAATTGAGTTTTTCATAGTGCTGAGTTTATTTTCAAATAAACTCCAAATTCTAAGAATATTACCTGTATTGTCTTTATATTGGGATTTGTTTTTTCTACAGTTTTCAATTCAGATGGAATAAGCATGGCTTTGGACACAACCATTCTGCTTTGATTTGCACCGGCATAACTTTTCATTGAAGTTCCTTTCATTGTAGCAAAAAAGCTAATAGACTTATTTGGTTGTGTGGCATTGTTCCTATATAAGGAAAATAAAATATAATGCAAAGGATTCAAGAATGAAAAGAAAAATCAACCAACAATAAAAAAGTAGGCTTTCATTTAGAAACATGTGAACAATCTAAACATACAACAAGAAATAATGACAGCTACTTGAGATCTCATTATGTATAAACATAGTTCCAAAGAGTTGGCATATATTACATCACTTTCTCCTCACAACTGCAAGAGGTTGCTATTAATATTATTTTATATAAAATCACGAAGACTTTAAGGGGAAACATTTCTACAATGGTGGAGATTTGAACCCAGGTAGTTAGATCCTAAGTCCATGCTGACTCCTCTGGGTCTTAGTTTCTTTGCCTGCAAAATGAGGATAATAATAATATCTAACTCATAGGTTATTATGAGGATTAAATAAATTAATTTTTGTATGATAGTTAGGAAGTCCCTAGCACATAGTAAGCACAAATGAGTGTGTAGTTGTAGTTTCATAGGCAGATTTAAACATGATTAATAAAGCCTGAGAAAGAATAGCATGTTCCTTTCTGAACTATATACTCCTTTTTTTTTTTTTTTAAAAAAAAAAGACAGACTCTCACTTTGTAGCCCAGGCTGAAGTGCAATGGCATGATCTCGGCTCACTGCGACCTCCGCCTCCCAGTTCAAGTGATTCTTCTTCTGCCTCAGCCTCTTGAGTAGCTGGGACTACAGATACGCCCCGCTGCGCCCAGCTAATTTTCGTATTTTTATTAGAGACAGGGTTTCACCATATTGGCCAGGCTGGTCTCGAACTCCTGGCCTCGTGATCCGCCCGCCTCGGCCTCCCAAAGTGCTGGGATTACAAGTGTGAGCCATTGTGCCTAGCCTATGCTACTTTTTAATAAGAAAATTTATAATCAAAATATTTATATCCATGAAACAAATATTTTTTCACTTTTGGATTTACTCTGTAAATTCCTTAAGACAAGGACTTATCATTTTATTCCTTCTAGCACTCTGTAATGTGGATTTCTATAAAATGGAGATGATCTTCCCTGAGATTATAAAAAGGTAAATATGCTTACAAAGAAAACATTTTAAATAATATATTTACTTTTTAAATCATAAAAAAAGACAAGAATAAAATATTTTTAAATAACGATCAATCCAGTTTTCATATTCTATTTTTCTTCTTAGCATTTATTATTACTTGACATTTTGTTGTTGTCCACCTCTCTACAGAAAGTAAGCATGTTTAGGGCAGGAACTTTGTCTTGTTCACTGCAGTATCCCTAGCATCTAGCACAGTGCCTAGTACACCATGGGCACTTAATAAACATTTTAAAAATATATGATTAAATGAATTCTATTTGTACACTATTTCAAATTTACATTATTTAAAAATATCCTATCCTATTCTCCTTCTGTCTCTAAGGACTTAACCTCCAACATCTCTAAAAATAAATAAAGTAACAATCATGTAAAAACTCCTTCAAATACAAATTTATCTCATTTTTACTTCTTCAGTAAAAGAGTTGCCATTCTTATCTAAGACTGATCTTCTATGTGAACTCTGAAACCTGTCACTGCTGTCTCAGGAACTCTTCTCCATCCATAATTCCAGGTCTCCTATCTTATATTTTTCTGTCTTTTCCCTGTGAGCATAAAATGATGTCCCAATCATCTTCTCAACTTAAAAATGCTTCCTTTATGTCTTCCTCTACCTATTACTATATGTTCCCTTCCTTTCACGGTCCAACTTCTTAAAATGTTAGTCAATAATACTGCCTACTACATGACTCCTCTTTTTGCTCTGTAACTACAATCTAGCTCCACTCTTTCTTCTACTACATAAAGACTACTTTCATTCTAGTCCTTCAAATTGTTGACTCCAAAGGTACTTATCTTTGTAACATCTGACAGCTGACCATTCCCCCTTCTTAAAATTGACTCTTCAGATTCATTTCTCTCATACCACAGACTATTCTTCAACCTCCTTGAGACCTCTAATCACCTGACCTTTCCATTTTCTACCAAATAATCAGAACATTTTAGATTTCTCTTTTCTCTATTAATCTTGAATCCACATTTATCAATTGAATGACTTTTTTTTTCTTTTGAGATGGAGTTTCACTCTTGCAGCCCAGTCTGAAGTACAATGGTGTGTTCCTGGTGCACTGCAACCTGTACGTCCCGGGTTCAAGCGATTCTCCTGCCTCAGCCTCCTGAGTAGCTGGGAAGGCAGGTGTGCACCACCATGTCCAGCTAATTTCTGTAATTTTAGTAGAGATGGGGTTTCACCATGTTGGCCAGGATGGTCTCGATCTCTTAACCTAGTAGTCCACCCTCCTCAGCCTCCCAAAGTGCTGGGATTACAGGTGTGAGCCACCGCACCCAGCTGAAAAGCTGTTTTTAATATAGACCTCTTCTCTAAATATCTGCTTGCCTACTTGACATCACTAACTGAAACTTAGCATGTCCAAAACTAAGCTCCTGACATTAACCTCCACCACCACCACCACATCACCCTCACCCCATCCAGCAAATTCACTCCTCTTGCACTCTTCCCTATTTTTCTTCAAGGTAACTTTACTCTTCCAGTGGCTTGGGTGAAAAAGAATTTCAAAATACATCTAGAATCCATCCATTCTATTAAATAGACTTCCATTCTATTCAAAATCATCCCTCTACTCACTCAGATAGATGTATATTCTTTTTTTTTTTTTTTAAGACATTTGTCACCACTCTTGTTGCTACTATCCTTGTCCAAACACTATCCTCTCTTGGATGACTGCAGTAGCCTTTCACTTCATCTTCCTACTTAACCTTGATCCCCTGGAGTTTATCCTCCACATAACAACTGCAATGATCTTTTAATACACATGTAAAGATTGGGCACAGTGGCTTACGCCTATAATCCCAGTACTTTGGAAGACTGAAGCAGGAAGACTGCTTTATGTCTGGAGTTCAAGGTTACAGTGAGCTATGATTATGCCACTGCACTCCAGCCTGGCCAACAGAGTAAGACCCGGTCTCTAATAGAGAATAAGATAAATAAAATCAAATAAAATAAAAATAAATAAAAAATAAAACATCATTACTCAAAATCCTTAATTTATCATCCCATTCAGAATAAACGCCTAAGTCATTACTACGACTTAAAAAGTCTTATAGCTAGGCCTCTTATTTTCATCTTTAGTGATCTATCCCTTGTTTACTCTGCTCCAGTTATAGTGGCATCCTTGATATTAAGGCTGGGCACATTTTCATATCAAAGACTTGAATTTATGTTTCTTTTGCCTGAAATGCTCTTTTTCATATATGCACATGCTCAGCATCTTTTCTTTTGGTCTTTAATCAAAAAAACTACCCTCTCCCCACCTGCCCTAATCACCCCATGGCCAAATGCTACAACAGGGGCAGCCCCTGTGCCTTAGGCTTTCCCTGGCTTCCCTTTCTGAAATATCAAAATTCTCTCTCAAGTACTTCATATCTTCTTGCCTTATGTTTCTCCTTAGAACTTCTTCCTATCTAACAGTATATCTTTAACTTATTTGTCTTGTGAATCAGCTATTGCTTCCCCTTGGAATCTAAGTTCCATGAGGGTAGGGACTTTGGGCTTTTTTGTTCCCTGTTGTATCCCTAATGCTTACAACAATACCTGAGTGTGGAAAAAACACAAAATGTTTTTGCTCTGCTCTCACACCACAACAATCAATATAGAAGATTTCTGTGACCAAATATGTAGGTTTTCTCCCCACATACCAACCAAGCAATCAGTTCTGCAGTGGATAGCATCTGGGTGTCCTCCAATCAATTCCAGCACTGTCTACCTGAAGGTAGCCTCAGATCCCAGAGGCAGAGAGCTCAGTTCCGTAAGACTACCTCTGACTTCGAATGGCAGTTGAAAGCATAGGCTGTGGCCTGTTTCTGAACGACCTGCTATAAAATCAGGGTTCCCACAACCCCCTCGTGTTCGGTTAATTTGCTAGAGTGGATCACAGAACTCAGAGAACACTTACCTTTACTGGTTTATTATAAAGGATATTACAAAGGATACAGATGAAAAGATACGTAAGGCAAGGAAGGAGCCAGAAGCTTACACACTCTCTCTGGGCACACCACCTTTCAGAAACCTCCACATGTCCAGCTATCCAGCTCTCTGAACCTAGTCCTTTTGGATTTTTATGGAGGTTTTATTAAGTGGGCATGATTAATGAAACCGTTGGCTACTGGTGATCAACTTAAAACATTCAGCCCCTCTCCCCTCCCTGAAGGTTTGGTGGGTGGGGCTGAAGATCCCAACCCTATATTAATCATGCTTTTGTCTTTCAGATGACTAACCCCCAACCTGAAGCTACCTAGAAGGTACTAGCCCTGGTCAACTCATTAGCATACAAAAAGACAACACTAGAGATTCTAAGGACTTTAGGAGTTGCAAGGTGGAAATTATCAAAGACCAAATAAATATTTTACAACATCACAGTACATAATATAGTGCCTGTTTAATACATTTATTGAAAGAATGAATAATCTCCAAATCATTATATCCAACTCAAAATAAAATATTCTTTTACTCTTCATACTTGTGAAAGGAAAATACCTTGGGCCCCAAAATTACCAAACTAAGGGAGAAGTCAAGCTGAGAACTGCTCAGGACAAACCTGATTTCCATTCTATTCAAAGTCATCCCTCTGCTCACTGAGATAGACGTGTATTTTTTTTTTTTTTAAAAAGACAGAGTCTCATTCTGTTGTCCAGGCTGGAGTGCAATGGCTCAACTTCAGCTCACTGCAACCTCTGCCTCTCAGGTTCAAGCAATTCTCCTGCCTCAGTTTTCCAAGTAGCTGGGATTACAGGTGTGTTTCAACAAACCCAGCTAATTTTTGTATTTTTAGTATAGACAGCTTTTTGCCATGTTGGCCAGGATATCTCGAACTCTTGACCTCAGGTGATCTGACCACCTCAGCCTCCTAAAGTGCTAGAATTACATGCATGAACCACCACACCCAGCTGACAGAGACATATTCTCATTGC